TAATAAAAAATAAATAAAAAACGCTTGATTTCATTGACACTGTTTTCATAAACCCAGACATATATTTGAATGGATTAAGACTGGATGACCCAGAAAGGCCGAAAAATGAGCGTGTCTAATTTCTTTCGATCTTTCTAAAGCATCTAGAGTCAATGTAGGGAATTCCCTGATCAGTTTTGGACATTCTGTGCCAATATATGTCTGGATTTATGAAAACCATGTTAAAGACTTTGCACCAAAATAGCGGGCATGTTTTTGGAAAATCAGTCAGATATATTCATCTCTTTTCAAAATAGGCTACAATGCAGTCTCTGCAATAAATGATACAACACCTAAATGTAGACAAGCATCACACTATTAATAATCTTAATATCAAATATTAATCTTAAGGAACTGGAATTTAGGAGCATGACGTCTATAAGACTACTGGTACTCTAAAGGTTTTGCACAGTAATGCCAGCAAGTACATGTTGTACACTGTAAGTTCAAATGGATTCTTTTGCCAAAATGACTTCAAACTAGTTTGCTAAATTTACTCAACAAACTTTGCAATATATCTGTACAAAGAACAAACTGAACTGTTAAAATCATCCAAACCTAGATTTATTTTCAACTACAATACTACAAACATTCCAGATCTTTTACATTACAAATCAGTTTGATCTTAGCTTTTGTAATCAGTGGACTCACTTTCTCCGTAATGGATAATATTTTGGCTACATTGTAGTTACAAATTTCATTTCAATTAATAAGTTACATGTACAACTAAGAACTTGTTACCACTTCAACAAAATTCTGCTCTATTACTTTTCCTAGATGTTTTTTTTATCATACTCAGGATTGAAACATTGGTCTTTCACTGGTGATGTTCATACTTCATCACAATTTCTAGTCAAAGACAGACTGGTTATTAACATTAACACTGTACCTACCATACATCTGATCAGGAACCAATCCTGTCAGTTTCACCCTGTGAATGAACAACACTCGATGCTCTGATCCTCCATCCGTAAATTTAGTAACACCACCGGATACTCTTAATGTCAGAGGAAAACCAGCTTTGTTATATTCAACAACAGTGTAGTTTGTATATGCTAATGTCACCCATGTGACCATCATCTCTGTTGGGTCACCTGAAAGTGCGAAAATGCACAGATCCATATTTTAAAACTCAATACTAGTAAACAGAAAATTTCCAGAGTCATATTTACACCCCTATCTCGCCATAACAACCACTCTCTACAACGGCCACTTCCCTCTGTCCCCAAGGTGGCCATTGTGGAGAGGTTCGACTGTATATATAATTACTCTTTTTCTTTACAAGGCAATTAATTGGTCGATATGACAGTGTATCTGCCCCTAGTCTTTCTGTTTTTGTTTTAGTTTTGTTTGCATGATTAGTTATAAGTGGAATCAAGATTTCTTGAACTGCCAAAGGAAATGAACCTAAGTCCAAGTCGTCCGTAGTTCGAGAATCAGCTGTGAGAGTAAAATTGCTGTTCAACTGGAACAAATCGTAAAGGGAAATGACTTTCAATTCAAGCTATTGGGAGTTAGAGAAATCAAAGCTTTGATAAAGTGGGATTCCACTTCATTTCGCATGAAGTATACTTGTAGAGATTTGTATTATTTTTATACCATAAAAGCACTCCTTGAACTTCAGAACCTTTTTCTATAGACAAGCACATCAAACCAAAGTGAGCCAGAAGCACTGTCAGAATGGTACATGTATATCAGCTGTTTTCATGATATGTGCAGGATAAATAGCATGTTCTTGGATGATCTCAGATTTCTCTACCCCACAACAAGATTATGAAGCAATTGTGCTCCTTCACATGCTGATAGCCTACAGTACAACTAAGCTGTCATAGTTGTATAAAAGAAATGAATGATCATCACAGTTTAGTACACAACTTACGCAGCTGTGAAAATAACACCTGGACAAATTCAGGCCTCAACGGGATGCAAACCCGTGACCTCTGTGATACCAGTGCAGTGCTCTACCAAGTGAGCTATCACGGCCAGAAGGAAGTACTCCCTCATATGGGCTATGCAGGTATGTGCGTCCTCAAAGGCCTAGAGTATGGTTTTTTAGCCATTTTGGTCATAAATAAGGTATTGATTTTGACCATTTTGGTGATAGACAGGGTATGGTTTTTACACTCTAGTCTTGAATTGAATATGCTTTGTAAGAAGAAGCTACTTTTTCATCGTATTCGATAAGACCATCAACAAAAGCCCTTCACAATACCTTTTACATCAGCCTGAACTAGGGAACAAATTATAAGGCAGGTCTGAAACAGGGTATTGATTAAAGGATCAGGTCATAACTGGGATGTTCAATTTTTGGTGAGGTCATAACTAAGGTATGGAAAATCAAAGATTTTAGTCATAAATAGGGTAAGGGTTTTGGAATTGGGCTGCACACCCTGACCCAATTTTCTAGAAGTACCCCACCCTGGTTATCAAGCCAACTGGGAGCTGGCCATGTTGAGAGAATCAGTTCAAATATATTCATGATCTTTCATTTCATTTCTTTGTATGCCGTCAATATTGCTTACAAACATAACATCAAAATCCTTGGTTAATTTTTCAACTAAAAATTTCTCTTTGAAATACCATACCTCACCTAGTGGACTTGAGGGGAAAATTATCCTGTAACTGAATACTTAAGCTTACTTCCTGTGAAAGACCCCCTCGGCTTTCGTTTTTGTAATTTCTTCTTCTTATTAATTCACTATGGATATAGATCCACTGAAAGCGTGCAACTGATAGACTTAAATAGAACAGACGCCCTTAAACTTATACAGTCACTTTCAGAGTCGATTTAATTAGGTTTTATTAGTAGCTCNCACAACAAGATTATGAAGCAATTGTGCTCCTTCACATGCTGATAGCCTACAGTACAACTAAGCTGTCATAATTGTATAAAAGAAATGAATGATGAACACAGTTTAGTACACAACTTACACAGCTGTGAAAATAACACCTGGAAAAATTCAGGCCTCAACAGGATGCAAACCCATGACCTCTGTGATACCAGTGCAGTGCTCTACCAAGTGAGCTATCACGGCCAGAGGGAAGTACTCCCTTTTATGGGCTATGTAGGTATGTGCGTCCTCAAAGGCCTAGAGTATGATTTTTTAGCCATTTTGGTCATAAATAAGGTATTGATTTTGACCATTTTCGTCATAGATAGGGTATGGTTTTTGCACTCTAGTCTTGAATTGAATATGCTTTGTAAGAAGAAGCTACTTTTTCATCGTATTCAATAAGACCATCAACAAAAGCCCTTCACAATGCATTTTACATCAGCCTGAACTAGGGAACAAATTATAAGGCAGGTCTGAAACAGGGTATTGATTCAAGGATCAGGTCATAACTGGGATGTTGAATTTTTGGTGACGTCATAACTAAGGTATGGAAAATCACAGATTTTGGTCATAAATAGGGTAAGGGTTTTGGACGTGGGCTGCACACCCCAACCCAATTTTCTGGAAGTATCCCACCCTGGGTATCAAGCCAACTGGGAGCTGGCCATGTTGAGAGAATCAGTTCAAATATATTCATGATCTTTCATTTCAGTCATTTGTATGCTGTCAACATTGCTTACAAACATAACATCAAAATCCTTGGTTAATTTCTCAACTAAAAATTTCTCTTTGAAATCCCATACCTCACCTAGTGGACTTGAGGGGAAAATTATCCTGGAACTGAATACTTCAGCTTACTTCCTGTAAAAGACCCCCTCAGCTTTCGTTTTTGTAATTTCTTCTTTTTATCAATTCACTATGGATATAGATCCACTGAAAGCGTGCAACTGATGGACTTAAATAGAACAGACGCCCTTAAACTTATACAGTCACTTTCAGAGTCGATTTAATTAGGTTTTATTAGTAGCTCCTCAATGTTAAAATATTACGTAAGCTGGCTTGACACAAAACAAGCCGGGCGCTACGCACTTTCAATGTTATATCGTCAATTTGATGGCAGATATAACTCTCAAGTTTACGAATCCTTCTAATTGTAGGATATTTTCTCTATCCGTATCCCTGGTTGTCACGGGTTTTCTGTTCAAACAAACTTCTAGAACGATGGTTGACTAGCATGCGTCAATGCACAACATTTTATGTACCAGAAGACTTAAACGGCGTTTTCATTCCTTACCTGTACTTGAAAGATGAATTTGTTCAGGTTGAGGGTCACTTTCATATGAAAAATGCAGACAAATAAACAAAACCAACCAAGAAATATTTCCCATGTTCGACGCCATGACAGCTTGGCGCAGACTGTGTTGTTACCTGCTTTGCGCAGTGTCACGTGAGAGTCATCAGCTTTCGGCATGCGCTAGGTCACGACACCTGTGGTCATCTGAGACCATACAATTACAGACCATATTCTACATTGATATTCTCTATAGAAGTGTTCTTTTATCCATCTAAAAATTATTCATTCAAATACCGTGACTATCTGAAATAAAAAGCAAGAATTCTCAAGGGTATCATCCCATGGTCTAAATGGGACAAAAAAAAAAAAAAAAGAAGGAAAAAAGAAAAAAAGCAAAAAAAGGTCCTGGTAAGGTCTTTCAGGCTGATTATATATGACTGAGAAAATTGCTTCTTTGTGAATGGCTGTGAGCGCCCTGGCATAAAATTCAAGATTAATCGTAGCCAGTACAGGCAGGATCTGAGCCGGTAAAGATAGTGTTTCCCGGCCCTGTATTAGGCAAAATGAACACCGAGATACCGAAGCAGAGTCAATGCTATAGCGATCAAAAGCTTTCGACGCTGTCACAGCGGGTATCTTCCATTATGCCAAAGATTCCGGAAATTTCGGTCGGAAGTCAAATGGCAAGGTCCGTTTCATGCCCCTTCGACCGGAAGACTCGGAACCACTTCTGGAGGTGGTCCCGAATATTCGGTCGGAACATTCTGACCGAAATTTGCCGTCCCATTTTGACAAACTGGTTCATTGCCATACTTCTCTTCACTTAAGTAGGGAATTCGGAAAAGGAATGAAAAAGGGTAAGAACCATTCCTCTTTGTTGGGCGGGTTGGTCGGAAAATGTCGTTCCATTTTCTTCGGGTATTCCCACTGGTCTCTGACCGGCCGGTCTAGCATAATGGAAAGCACCCAGCGTCTTTCTCAAGTGAATATGGCGGAAATCAAGAGAATATGATCTCAGAATCATAATCTCTCGCGGAAATCCATTTGTCACGTGAGCTTGGGTGAACAAAACTTGAGAAAAACGCTGTGACTGCGTCCAAAGCTTGTGATCGCTAGGTTGAGCATTGAGTCTGATTCGGCATCTAGTTCGTTCTTATTAATTTTGTTATTGATATGTTTAATAGTTACACTACACGCTAAAATGTATGGTGAAATATATTTATTGCAAACTGATCTATTGCTACTCGTGTTTTACATATTTAACAAAAAATTGAGCTGTTGATAATTCAGCTTACGTTAGCTACTAAATACAGAAAAAAAGCCGAGCTAAAGTTGGTACGAGAAATAATTAATGACTTTTCCACAAGACAAATCAGTCAGCCTCTTCTTTTTCAAATCGAAGAGAGAAAAAGCGAACTTTGTTTTTCAAAATCAACTTCGCTATTTTGACTTCACAGTGATCAAATGACCTACTCTTAAGGGAAAAGGAGAGAAAACATCTTGTTATCATTTTCGGTAAAAAAAACAAATAAAAGAAATTACGTTTCAGAATTGGAGTTTATACTTAGAAGTGATGCTGCATTCAAATATTTTGGAGACTAACAATTGTGTGATAATTCAAAATGTGTTGGAAAAAATTGTATCTACAAATTGATAATTGATGGCCTTCTTTGGCAACGCTACACAATCAAGTCACGAGACGTCCACCGGCTGGGTGGTGCTGGGAGTGTGCAGGGGGGATGGGGGTGGACAGTCTATCGCCTTGATTCAGTTTAATTCTTGATTTTCTTGGGAACCCAGGCTTCTGGTCCATGCACGTCTTTGATTATCATTACTTTGTCAATGACGTCACCCCCCTGCAAGAAAACAAAGCACTCTATATTATCTTTTCCTGGACATGACTACAGATCACTACCAGTACAAAAAGCACTCCTGGATATTACCATGGCTTTTGTTTATCAATAGGGCCATTTATACAAGGAAAATAAGCCACGACTTATTTTGCTCGTACAAATGGCCCTTATACAACAGAACTGGTTCACCGACATTTAGGCGGTATGACTTTGTCGCATTCCTTTTTTGTAGCACGCGCTGCTCACATCTAGCGAACACTGAATACAACTTTCTTAACTCAACATTTTATGCTGCTACGAATGTTGTAGGGTTTGAGTTTGAATGTAATTCGACGAGTTATACATCAACAGAGATTTTATTCTTCAGGCTTCGGTTGTTCGAAGGCTGGATAACGCTATCCACCGGATAAATCGCTACCCACCGGATAAATCGCTATCCACCGGATAAATCGCTATCCACCGGATAAATCGCTATCCACCGGATAACGCTATCCACCGGATAAATCGCTATCCTAAGGATAACGCTATCCACCGGATAAATCGCTATCCCAAGGATAATCCAACGGATTATCCAACGGATAAGTGTTAACACAACAAACCACGCTATCCGCTGGATAGTGATTTATCCGGTGGATAGCGTTATCCACCTTTTGAACAATCAGGTCCAGGGGTATAAAGTTTGTGTGACCAATTCCTTTCCCCCACTCCACTCCACCCACCCCCTTCACTTACCTTATCCACACTGACTTGTTCCATGTATAAGTGCGTCTTGTTGTGGATGGTCATTCGAGTGTAACCGTAATCCACTGCGCGGAACGCTGTCCAGGGAGGGTAGTCTTTAACAAATGGGTTATGTTTTTCGAAACAGCCCTGAAAAAAAAAAAA